AGAATTTGCAACAACTTCATAAAATTTTTCACATGCACAAGCATGAGGATAAACTCTGGGTCACTGGGACAGTGTGTGAACATTTGGGATACATCAGAAGTACGCTTGGTCATAGAATTTCAGAAGCAGAATCTCACCTTGTAAAAATCTAAACTGAAACCTGCTTGACAAAAGCCTTGTCCTTCAGGATCCGCATTGCCTGCAATTATGAAGGTAAAAGCATCTTATTGATTTCACAGTGCATGTAGAAGACAGCTAAACACTCCTGCAGCAATAAAGCTATAAATGCAAAAGTACCAAAATAGGTGAAAGAAATGTGTATTCCTTTTTAGGAGAGGCAGAGAGAACAAATTAAGGCCTGTTATAGGACCCTGACCATGCAGTTCCCCCATGAAGATTTTTGCAAAATGGGATCAGTTACTTGGGACTTTCTCCTCTCATTGCCAAGGAAGGTCTCCAAGTACCAAGAATTTGGTCTGAATTTGGCTGCAGAAATGAAAATAAACAACAGAACAACAAATCCTAGAATGGCTGCCACAGCTTGCACTGCCATAAACACAAAACTCAATATTTACTAGGGCAAACTCAAAAAAATGCTGACATGGAGGATGGGGTCAGCACGGGTCAATGCTCAGACAACATCCTGGTTATCTGTAGCATGGTGAGGGAGAGGGGGTATGTGTTCTTCATGAGGCGCAGCCCTTTAATTGATATACTTTGGCTAAATAAGGACTGAAGGGTAATACAATATTTTGGATGCACATTTATACATGGAAAATTGTCCTTCCTGCTTCTGCCATTTTTATGTCCAGTTTCCAAATGTACAGAAAGTAGAAAATTCTTATAGAATTTTACAAACTGTGTTGGCATCCATTTTAGAGCTTTCATATGAACACTGGAGTGCTGAAGTCTGTAAGATCAGGAAACAGAGAGTAGGAATGGCCATTGGAACTATCTTTTCAAGAGGCATTAGCTTTTCAAAAAGCCACAGTGAGACATCAGCAGTAAATGAAAGATGTTATGGGCATAATTTCTTATCGATTCGGTTTCTTTCTGTACCTGCCCATCCAGGTGTAAGTCTTAGGCTATTAAAGGAAGACTCGGTAGCACAACTCAGTGTAGAGCTATACTATAAGAAAAGGAAAACCACAGAGCAACACTGAATGTATATGCAAATATCTCAGTTGCTTTAGGTGTGCAGATTTTCTGGTAGACCACAGAAAGCATCACTGGTCTACATTATTACACACCTGTCAGATGTCAGGAAAATACAGCGACATGCTATGATGCTGTCTCCAGATCTTCACATGAGGGAAACCTCTTAATTGTCTGTAGTAAAAGTCTGCATTTTTCTGTAAAATGCCTGTTACTTTCTTGGCATAATAATCCATGAGAAACTTGAAGTTGGGAGCACAGTTTGCAGCTGAGCAACAGCTAGAAGGTACATTGCAAAATTAGCTCAT